CAATTGAAGTTGTGACTTCAGTGGTGTGCCACAACACACCCTCCACTCAGAATTTTTTTAAGTACAAACTTCTGGTAGCCAAAGTTCTCACCTTGCATGTGACTGACCAACGGGATACCATATGGGTGCTGGTTCTAATCCTATCTAATCCTTCTAAAAAAAGCGAAAACTAGATTCTGATGATGTCTTCATAGGATAGTTAACTCAGAGACTTGCTACAATTAAACATCCCTGCAAAACAACCACCTAAAATGCAGTAACACAGCTACTCATGAACACACAACTTGTAGTAAGCTGTTTCCCTGCCTTAGTTTTAATTCTCTACTTTCAAGCTTTACCAGCAGTTACTCCCAAGGCTCTCAGCTTGTCACTGTCTACCGTACTTCCTAAAGTATAGGTGGTTTGGAAAAACCAATACTTTCAAACTGCTTTGAGAAATGTAATAAGGAAGCTTAATTCTTTAATAGAAAGCTTCTCTACTCCCACACACTGAAAGTTTTTTTGGCAATGGGTTGTAAATTCCTTCCATGTAAATGACTGAATGTGTAATGATATAGTCAAATAAGGTGTGAGTTCGGGGAAAGTTAGTGCTGAGGTGTGATTTACTGCTTCAAATCCTTTACTGAAAACTCTGTGCCAGTGCTTTAGTATACAACTGAGTAAACAGCAGAACATCTCCTAAAGTCAGGTTAAATTACACCCCCTTTTAAAGATTTATTAATTTTTGGGCCCGGCGCAATAGGATAGTGGTTAAAGTTCTTGCCTTGCATGCCTGGGATCCCATATGGGCACCAGTTCTAATCCCAGCAGCTCTACTTCCCATCTAGCTCCCTGCTTGTGGAGGACGGTCCAAAGTGTTGGGACCCTGTAACCATGTGGGAGACCTGGAAAAAGCTCCTGGCTTCAGGCTGGCACAGCTCTATCCATTGTGGCCTCTTGGGGAGTGAATCAGGGGACGGAAGATCTTCCTCTCTGTCTCTTCTTCTCTGTATATCTGACTTCCCAATAAACACAAAAAATTTTAAAATATTTATTCATTTTTATTGGAAAGGCAGATCAAATTTACGGAGAGGAGAGACAGAGAAAGATCTTCCACCCACTGGTTCACTCCCCAAGCGGCCACAATGGCAGGAACTGAGCCAATCCAAAGCCAGGAGCCAGGAGCTTCTTCTGAGTCTCCCAAGTGGGAGCAGGGTCCCAAGATTTTGTTTGGGCCATCATCTCTACTGTTTTCCCAGGTCATAAGCAGGGAGCTGGAAGGGCAATGGACCAACTGGGACACGAACTGGCATTTGTATGGGATCCCGGTGCTCACATGGTGAGGATTTAGCCAGTGAGCTCTCACGCTGGGTCTACCAGTATCTCTTTTCAAATAGCCTCTTCACTCCTCCAAGCTATTCTTTCCTCATACAGAGGCTGTGAGGTAGAGCATTTTAGTCCCATAATTCCAAGCCATGTTCTAGTCACTGACTTTATCCAATATCCTCCTAATATCTAAAAAAGTAGAAGAAACTACAGGTTAATCTTAAGAAACTGGCTCTCTTTTCAATATTTCAACTCTGTATACCATCCACTGGTTTCACTCCCAGTGATGTGGGGCCAAATCGAAGTAAGAGTTTTTTCTGGGTCTCCCACATGGAAACCAGTACCAGCCACCTTCGAATAACACGTAAATTAAGTTTTAAAAAGTCAACCACTGGTGGATCCAGTTACATCCGCTACAGAATAGCACTAATATCATTTTTGAGGGCTAAGACAAGTGACAGTCTGGCTTCTTTCATTTAGCATTACTACTGACCACTCAAGCTTTGCCCATCAATACCTGTTTGCAAGGGTCTGGTGCTGTGGCACAATGGGTTAAGCTAGTACTGCAAGTGCCATATGTGAGCCCATATGGGTACTGGTTTGAGTCCCAGATACTTCACTTCTGACTTTGCTCTTTGCCAATGTGCTTGGGTAAGCTGTGGAGGACAGCCCAAGTGTTTGGGCCACTGTACCCACACGGGAAACCTGGAGGCAGGAACTTAATATGGCTTTCCCTTGTGTGCAAGGCCTTGGACCAGTCCTTTTTGCCAGGCTTTCGTATCAAAATCACACTAATCCCCAAAGGAGCTTGGAAGCATGTTTCTTCTATTTCTTGAAGGAATATGCAGAAAAGGTAGGAATAATTTAGCTTTTTTTAAAAAAAAAAAAAAAATAGCTGTTATGACTATTTTAGTTTCTACCTCATTCTGCATTTTAAAAAACTTTAACATCTGCAATAAGTCTCTTTGGATAACTGAGCTTCCTTACTTTTTAAAAAATACACATATATTTTTTTTTTAGAAAGGCCAAGTTACAGATCTGCAATTACAAAGTCCAGAACTGGGATGGGTTGAAGCTGTGAGCCAGGAGCTTCTTTTTTTTGGTCTCTTATGTGGGTACAGGGCCAAGTCTTCCCTTGCCTTCTCAGGCAATTAGGATGAATCTAGGTTGGAAGTGGAGCTGCCAGGACTTGAACCAGTGCCCGTATGTGGTGCTGGTGCCGCAGGCAGAGGCTTAGTGTGTTCTACACAGTTTTAAAACAGTTCATTAGTATCCTGTAACTACAATCTTCATTCACATTTAACTGGAATACTAAAAGTGGGATTTTTCTGGCTTTTTCTTATTATTTAATAAATAACAAAGCTATTAAAGACCTTGAAAAAGGATGAATGGAGTCCAGGAGTCTAAAACTTTGCAGCAACACTATTTCCTCTCCTCAAATAACAATTATTAAAAAATTGTTACTTTATGTCAACCTGTCAGGGCACCTGCTGGGATGCATATCTGATATCTAGCTTGCCAGACAGGCGAAAGGCTGGAGTGCCAAGCCAGGCATGGCCTTGCCTGCAGCTCCCTCCTCTTCTCCCCGACCTCTTCCAGCAACTCCCTCTTGCCGCTTATTTTAGATCATTTATCGAGCATACTTTTCAGGCTTCTGTCCCATAAATAGCCTCTGCAACCTTTATTCACTAGTCACCACAAGTGTTCCTCACGAGACTACCCACAGGTTTCTCAGTTAAACCCAGAATGATAAGAAACCTTGACTTAACTTGGTTATGATACGGTGGTATAGAGTCCCAACAGTGGCTTTTTAAATGTTCAACATCCGCAAAATGTATGGCCCTAAATTACAAGCCACACAAAAGCAAACAAACAAACAAAAGCAGAAGTTGCAGGACTCAGAAGCCCTTTTAAAAGATCGTTTTAGAACCACTCTGAAGCAGGCAAAGGATTTGAGCTGAGGAAAGTTCAAAGTGAAAGTGGTTCTTCAGCACTTGAAAAAAGCCTTTCCACCCCTGCCTCCCTCATTCGGGAAACTTATCAGCCAGAAAAACTCACTCCATGTTTTGGCACCTTGGCCTTTATTTAAAAGGAGTACTGAGAAAATATTAAGGTTTCACAGATCAGAGCAGCACAACTTTTGTTCTTTATTTGTGGGGCTGCTCTTCCGTTCCTCCTGGCACAGAGTGTTATCTAAAGCAACTAATTCTGGTAGCAACCACTTTTTCAAACGCCCAGCACAAACGGCAGCTTTTTCATCTGTGAAATGGAGGCAACCGTGAGCTTCCCCCGGTCATCACGAGAAGAGCAAGCCACTTCCGACAGCGTCCACACACACTGAAGCCTTCGGAAGCGAGCCTGACACACGGTTAGGGGCACACCAACCTCCAGCACCGGACTCGTGGAGGGGCAGCTGCCCCCACTGCCTCGGATTCGTCAACTGCAGCACTAGGGACGAGCTCCCCAGCGCGCCCTAAAGTCTCCGCAGCACGTGTCCGCCGGGATCCTCCTCCAGTTGCTTTTTGTCAGGGGACGGCAGCGGGCGCAGCCAACATTCCTAAAACGCCCATTGGCCCACACCCCGGGGCCAGGCTCCGGGCCCGGCGTGCGAGCTCATTGGCCGCCGCCTCTCAATGAAGCGGGCCACGCCGGTTCCCCCGCCTGCCGTGCGATCGGCCTAGGAAGGGCCCCGAGGCCCCGGGCGGCTCGCCTTGCCTTCGCCGCCGCGGACCCGGCCTGAGCATCCCTGGTCTCCCAGGGCGAGACCCCTTAAAGCTCGCTCTTCTCGCGCGCGCCCTTCTGCTCACGGTGGGAGTGGGGTGAGGCGGGGGGCGCCCGGTCCGCTGCCCAAGCCCCAAGCATTAGCGGCGTGATTATTAGGTGCCGGGGCCATCGGGCCTGGATCCCCTCAGCCCGCACTCGGGAACAGGTTGCACAACCCAAGGTCAAGAGGCTCGGAAGACGACGTCCAGCGGCGGCCGTTCGTTACCCCTCGACCCCGGGCCGCCCCCAAAAAGCTTTGGTGCAGAGCACGTTAGAGCGGCCCTGGGGCCCAGCCACTGCGACACGCCGGCTCCCGCCCAATCCCCGCCGCCCCGACCACACACGCTCGCTTCGCGGGGACCCCGCGGCCTGCTCCCCAGCCTCCCCCGCCAACCCCGCGCGGCCCAGCCCGGGAACGCCCCGGGTCAGAACGAGCCCCGCTCCACACCATCCCTCGCGTCCCTCCATTCTCCGAGCCGGCACGCCCGAATTAGCGCCTGACTAAGCCCGCAGGGCCACACCTGCCAGGCGCGGACCGCGCGAGGGCTCCCCGCACCCCAGCAGCAGCATCACCCCTCTACCACCACCCACCCACACCCCCCGCCCGCCCTCGTACCCGCGCAGGGCCCGGGGTGGGGGCACACCGGCCACCCGCACGCCCGGCCCGGGACGTTACCTGAGCACGCGGCCGGCGCCTCCCCTCCCCCCAGGGCAGTGCGGGGCCCGGCAACGGCGGCGAGGCCGGCTCTGCCCTCCTCGTGGCCGCCGTCGGGGCTGGCCGCGGCCGGCCCGGCGACCCCCTTGTCCCCCCGACCCGAGGACCTGGCCCACCTGAAGCAGGCTGCCCGCCCGCGCCCGTCGCCTTCCCCAGGCGAGGGGGCGAAGAGCCCCGAGGGCCGGCGCCGTAGGGAGCCCCCCGCACGGGCACCCACCTTGGGATGGTACGAAGATCTCCAGATCCTTGGTTGGCGTCGGGTTGCTGCCGGGAGAACCAAACCTCCAGCAGCTTCTCGGTCCCTTCGAAAAAATGTGCAGCTTCCATCACCGTGAGACTTAGCGAACAACCAACAACCACAGAAAATCAACTAAATTAAATCTCTTCTCCCGCCGCCGCCGCCGCGGATTGTTCCAGCTGTGTTACTAAAGTTCAGGTGGTTTTTTTTTTTTTTTGCTATATTTTATATTAACTTTTTTTAAAAAAAAGGATTAATAAAATTTTCCCGGCTTTTTTGTGTGTTTGAAAGTTGAACGAGAGTCTGTAGGAAAAAAAAAAAGAGGCAGATACAGTCCAGTCTCTTGTAGTCCGCTGCTTCCCCGTTAGAGAGAGTTTGAGCGAGCGCTAGCTAATGTCGCCGGCCATACTGTGTAAGCGAGGGCGCTGCGCGAGCGCGGGCCTTATATACCCCTCCGTCTCCGCTGAAAGGCCAGGAAGTGACGTAGGCCCCGTCACCCAACGCTCATTGGCTGCCGTCGCCCGTCAATCGCGGGCGGCCGAGTGGCGGCTGGTTGGCGGCGGGCGGGTAAGGGACGCTACCCCGCACGGCTCTGGTCTCGCTGTCCGCCGAGTTGGGGGTGGAGGGCCCAGTCCAGCCGAGGAGTAGGGGCGACTGGGAAGCTGGGGGTCGAACGCGGAGGTGGTGGGGCCAAGAGCAGACGGAGCGGGGAAGGGCTGTGGAGCGCCCCGCGCAACTGGTTGGCGTGGGTCGTGGGTGGGTCCTTGTCGGGGGTGGGCGCGGGCGGTGGCCGGCGCAGGGTCGGCGTGCTGTGGTTTTCTTCGAGAGCAGTTCCCCGCGCCTGCCGAGGCACTGGGGCGTTTTTCTAGAAGTATGTGTTTCTCTCAGACGGACGCCGCCAGGCGCTGAAAACAGCGTTTGCCCGCCACGCACACCTTGTCTCGGAGGTCGAATTAGAAGACGCTGTTAATGCTTGCTCACGCCTTAGAGGTACGCAAGTGCCGGCGAACGCCGACCTCGGCCGGTTACACAATAGCAGGGAGCGGCGTCTCCCCGTTTCAAAAGGGGGTTAAAAAAAAAAAAAAAGAAGAAGAAAGCGACGTGGCGCCCAAGCTTGAGGGCTCCATCTCTGCCTACCTCCCACCCTGTGGCTCGTAAAGTCCCTGGGCGGGCCGAGCGTGGCGGCCGCTCCGTGCTCCCACGGGGTACGGTGATCGACGGCTGGGGATCATAGTTTCCTTTGCATGTTGTGACGCGGATGAACTGAAGTGTTTCAGGAAGGATTTGCGTGGGAATTGTGAACGAGGAGATCCCGAGCTATCGGTGCTTATTTAGAGAACCATTGATCCAACAGGTCGTTACATTCACTGATGGCCCACTAAGGTATTAGCATAGTCGAGTCCCAAGTCAGTTGGACATGAGGCAGCAAGATGGTGGTAGTTAACAAAGTTAACACTTGGATATAAGGGAGGTCAGGGGTAGGGAAATGCAGCCGTATATAAACATTGCCAATGTTATAAGACAAAAAGAATAATAAGAATAGACTCACCCCCACCCCCTTAGACAAAAACATTCCTTAAAGTGAAATAAGATTGTGTCAGCATGAAAAATCCGCTGGTGGGTTTTTGCAGCTAGCCACCCTGCAGGGTGTATACTTGTTTTACAAGAGCCTTGTCCATGAAACCTGTTCAAAGAAGAAACTCTTGCCATGTTTTTTTTTTTTAAGCATCCAACTTTAACTGGGGATTGGGACAACAGATAATAAATGACTTTATTATTTTAATAATTGAAAGAATATGGTTGTTACACTTGGAATGAAGATAAAAGAAGTATTTCAGTGTTTTACAAGCCATTCAACTATTTGATGATTGCTTATTGAAAGGAAGAATGCGCCCACTAAACCACCTCAAACACTAATTGTGGTATAAACATAATTTGCCTTATAATTGCTTATAATTAGTTGCTTTTCAATTACTACTATGCCCCTCCATGCAATTTAAGTTAATATAAAAGTGCCAAGAGTGTTGGCAAGGTTGGGACATGATAATATCTGTGAACCAGATTGGTCCTTTGTAAAAAATCATTATTTTTTTCTTAAGCATCATTATTATCTTCAAGCTTAAAAACCTTGTCCTTGTAAATAGGTCAGTTAATCATTTCTTAAATGTTTCCCTGAGGGTCCAGCATAGTAGCCCAAAGACTTGGGACCCTGCACTTGCATGGGAGACCGGGAAGAGGCTCTGTGCTCCTGGCCTTGGAATGGCACGGCTCCAGCCATTGCAGCCACTTCAGGAGTGAATCAGCGGATGGAAGATCTTCCTCTCTGTCTCTCCTTGTCTCTGTACATCTGCCTTTCCAATAAAAAAGAAAAATATTTTTTTTAAAAAAATGTTTACCTGAGGATCTGACACAGTAACCTAACAGCTAAAATCCTCACCTTGTGCATGCAAGGATCCCATATGGGTGCCAATTCTAGTCCCAGCAGCCTGGATTCCCATCCAGTTCTTTGCCTGTGTTCTGGCAGAGCAGTCCAGGATGGCCAACAGCAGGGATACAGTGGCTCAAGGACTTAAGCCATTCTTTGCTTCTTCCAGGCCATAAGCAAGGATCTGGATGGGAAGTAGAGCAGCTGGGACTGAAACCAGCATTCAAATAGGATGCTGGTGTCACAAGTGGAAGCTTAGTCCATTATGCCATGATGTCAGTTCCCTAATAATTGTGTTTTTTTTTTTTTTTTAAAGGCAGAGTGACAGAGGGAGAAAGAGATCTGTCCACTGGTGTGTTCCTCAAATAACCACAACAACTGAAGCTACAATCCAAGCCAAAATCAGTAGCCAGGAGCTCTGTCCAGATCTTCCACGTGGGTGAAGGGGCCCAAGTACCTGGGCCATCTTACATTGCTTTCCTAAATGCTTTAGTAGGGAGCAGGATATCTGTCTCTCTTTCTACCCCTCTCTCTCAAATCCATAAAAAATTATAGTAAAAAATTAGATTATTTTTGTGAGATTGATTATGTATGAATTTTTTAATGATCTATTTTGAGTACTGAAGTCATTATAATATTTGTACAATTTTTAAAAAGATTATGTTATTTATTTGAATGGTGGAGTTATGGACCTGGCACAGTAACCTAGCGGCTAAAGTCCTTTCCTTGCATGCACCAGGATCCCATATGGGCACTGATTCTAATCCCAGCAGCCCTGCTTCCCATCCAGCTCCCTGCTTGTGGCCTGGGAGAGCAGTCGAGGACTGCCCAAAGCCTTGGGACCCTGCACCCATGTGGGAGACCAGGAAAAAGTTCCTGGGTCCTGGGTTCAGTTCAGCGCAGCTCCAGCCATTGCGGTCACCTGGGGAGTGAATCATTGGATGGAAGATCTTCCTCTCTGTCTCTCCTCCTCTCTGTATATCTAACTTTCCAATAAAAATAAAATAAATCTTAAAAAAAAGAGGAGAGGGAGCTCTTCTGTTGGTTCATTCCCTAAATGACGCCAGTAGCCAGAACTGTGCTACACTCAAACCAGGAGCTAGGAGCTCAACCCTGGTCTCCCGTATAGGTGGCAGGAGCATAAGTACCTGGGCCGTCCCTCATGCTTTCCAACGTGCATTAGCAGGGACCTGGCTTGGAAATAGAGCCAGTGGAACGCAAACCAGTACCCATCTGGGTTACCAGCACTGAAGGCAGCAGCTTTCCTCACTGTGCTACAATGCTGGCCCCTGTTTACATGGCTTCACACTCAGGATGAAATGTGAACACATTTCCAATCTTTTTGATAGTTCTTCAACCTACTTCATATGTAGCGTTACTTTCACTCACCCTTAAAAAAGGATAAGCTTTTCCTAAGGAAAAGATTTTTCAAAAGATTTTTATTTATTGTTTGAAAGGCATTTATACACAGAGAGGAGATTGAGAGAGAGAGAAAGAGCCAGAGAGAGAAAGACAGAGATCTTTCCCCTAGTTCACTCCCCTAAAAGTCCACAGTGGCCAGGACTGGGTCAGGCGGAAGCCAGAAATTTCTCTGCATCTCCTACATGGGTTGATAGGGCTTAAAAATTTGGACCGTCTTCTGCTACTTTCCCCAGGCATGCCATTCATTAGCAGGGAACTGTGCTAGAAGTGGAGCAGGTAGGACTTGAACCAGTGCTCATGTGAGAAATGGCACTGCAGGTAGTAGCTTAACCTGATACACTACAGAACTGGCCCCAGAAAAACAATCTTCAATAAAGTGTTCACTTAAATTTATTTAGTTATCACTTAAATTACTTAGCAAATCGATATTTAAAAGTTAATTTAAGGAAACAAATAAAAAGGAGCTGACGTGTGGTCAAGTGTATTAAGCCACTGCCTGTGGTGAAATTCCACATCTGAGCATCTATTCCAGTCCTGGATGTTCCACTTCTTAGCCAGCTGCATATTAATGTGCCTGGGAAAGCAGGGGAGGATGGCTGAAGTACCTGGGACCCTGTCAACCATGTGGGAGACGTGACTGGAGTTCTAGACTCCTGGCTTCCTCAGCCTGGGTCAACTGCAGCCATCATGGCTATCTGGTGAATAAATATGCCAATGGAAGAAGATCTTCTTCTCTGTCTCCCTGCCTTTCAAATAAGTACAACAAACCTTCAGAAAGAAAAAAAAAAAAATCAAGCAATTATATGACTAAGATGCTGCAGTGATGTTAGCTTAGCTTGGTCCATATAGGCTAGTATGAGGTACTTTATCCACTCAAAATTTGAATTACACCCACGAAGTTATAAATCTGATTTTTTTTCCTCCATTTTCCTTTACATGCCCTTTGCTGACCTACATGGAAGCTAGCTGTAACTTACTTTAATGAAGTTCTCTAGTGAGAAGTACTGCGTTGCTTAACTGCAGATCTGTCACCCCAAGTGTGAACCGGGGAGTGTCAGGGTTTCCCAAGAGCCACATCTTTAGCAATAAGGTGTGGCCTTGCCATTGCTGAGGGACACTATTCCAGTCCAACATGTTTCTGGTTTGCACCTTCCATTGTGCAGTAAGCTCTCTCACATTTAAGTAGTAATCCTTACATAAAGAAAAAAGCAAGAAAGGAAAACGAAACGCCCTGCTCCAAACCAAAAGTCATTTATAGCCTCTAAAAGTTCTTGGACGTAAGGTCACTGGATTTTCCTTCAGCCATGCCAAATTCCTCGGCATCATGGTAAGCTTCCCAATAGGACATGAGAGCAGCACAGGGAGATGTTGCTAAGTGACACAGGTAACAGTTGCATGATGGCCCTGTTCCTTGGCACTTGCCATTGAGCCTTGCTCATCCTTATTCATAGTCATTGGCAAGATACAATGAAAGGACTGCAATAGCATGTAGATAATGCAGGTTTGTGCAGGAGATTGTCAAGGATATAGAATGGCAAAACCACAATTGTGAGTTCCCAAAGATATGAAACTT